GCATCCCAGGATGCTAATGCATTCTAGGACATTGTGACAAGAAGAGCGGTATGTGGTAAATTAAGTTTAAAGCACAAGTTTTATATGCTCCTCATTTCTATATGCACAGGCTATTTTTGTGGGATGGTTGTTATTCCAAGCGTTCGAATGTAATGCACAGGTATCTCACGGGTGTACAATTGCAACATTGGTAATTGCAGCTGGAGAGGTTCTAGATGAGAATGACCGAAGACTTGCCCGAGGAGGACTATACGAGATGGACCTCAAGGCATGCATGCCGCATATCTGGAATGCACTCAACCAATTGCGAGGTGCATTAAGCTTAAAGGAGGAGGGCAATTGGCACAAGTATGTGGATTCCATCCTAGAGAACCTTGCAATTACCGACTACAATGCAGTGCTTGAGTCTAGACTTACTGAACTTAGTGAAGGTTATGAGTAGGTTGTGGAGGCATGCATAGCTATAGTGGTCTGGTATTACTTATTCATCGAGCCAAACGTAGTGGGAGACTTATGTGCATGGAAGCTTGTCAGAGGCCTTACAAGAGTCCAGCATTGCTAGGTGGGCTTTCACTCATTGGGACAGATGCTTTATTATAGGCCTTTTGGGTAAAGATGATCATTCCTCCCGCGGAGTTCATCAACTGCTTAATCTTTGATCAGGACTTTGGAGAGAACTTCCATAGCTGGATTGTGGACATCATTCGAGGTAACTATTTATTTTCACAAACAATTAAAACTTTTGTATATTTGAACATTTTATAGATATGAGCCCGAAAGAGTTATCTAAGTTCCATCACTTTGCGGTTGATTCTTCAGAGTTCCAACTGGGAGAGCCTATTTTGATCTAAGTTGAAAGACAAAATACATCATCTATTCGATTTCCTAGGTTTTCCACATGCATACAAGAAGTTTTCTTTCCTTTAACATACCCGTCAATGGAGTGGACTAAACACAAGATCCATTGAACACTCCAAAATCTAGAGAGCTTGTATGGATTGGGCTGATGTTGTGGAAGTAATCTAGACACTTTCACAATAAAAATAAATAATTGTCTTGAAATATGTTTCACACTTTGAAAAAGACTCTTTCCAGTTCATTGGTGAAGTTAAAGGTAAGAATATTCAAAATATTCCACAAATGCCCATTATAAGCACTTGTAGCCCTTTTGGCTTATGCTTGCTATAGCTTCTAAAGCAACTCCCAATTTAGGATTTGGGTCAAAACTATCAAGCTTAGGTGCTACATGATGCCCATCCTTGCTTGAGGAACTCTCAACCTGTTTCATGGTAGAACCAAAATCACCTTTGGGTCTGTAAATTCATCTTTGCTTGCATCTTAAGCAGTAACATATCCCTCATTGTCACTTTCTTCAGTAGGACCTTTCCCCTTAGTGATTGGCACAACATTAGAAGTAGTCTTGGGCTGCCTTGTTAGAGGGATTGTCAAGCCTTGAGAGGAGGAGGCATCATATAGAATCCTCGGTCCTATCCCTTGTTGAATCTATTGTTATGCCTCAAAGAAGTCATAGAATCCTCTCCAATTTGCCATACCAAGAGGAAACCCAGAAATCTCAAATATTGCAAAAGGGTTAGAGCATATATGAAACTGTCACAAATCTACTCTTACCAAAGTGAGCACGAGCTTTCAATCCTTGAAAACTCCAATTCTTCGGCCGCAGCGCACAGCATACATTGGATAGTTTTCCCCCATGCTTGGAAACCCTTCTTACAAATTTCAAAATTTGAAACAGTTATAATTGAGAAATATTATAAGTGTCCATTGTTATTGCTCTTCTCACTTGAATGTTATTGCATGCAATTGCAACTCCCATATTCTCAAATCTTCTTTAGCATACTCCTCTTGAGAGAACTCCAGGTCCAATTTGAAACGATTATAATTGGAAAATGTTGAAAGTGTCTATTGTTATCCTAAATGTTACTACATGCAATTGCAACCTTTATATTTTCAAATCTCCTTCAGCATGCTCCTGTTGAAAGAACTCTAGGTCCAAACATCAACACTATGCACCTTTGTATAGTACACAATTCAAGTATGAGCCCTACCAATTCATCAACTTGATTAGACTTCAACCTACTTTTGAATCATATGCAAATCTTTTAAGCATCATGGTACAAAACTAAAGTGTTGAAAATCAATGGCAACGAAAGATTAACTTGATGGGATGCATTAGAGATATAACTCCAGACAATATATATCCATGGCTTTGCAATGGAGATAGATGGAGTTCACTTACAATTGCTATGAACAATATGTTAAAAGAGGTGTGCCAAAAAAGGATAATTCAATTCTTTTGCCATGAGCGCCAAGAGCAAGATGTGAGAACATAGTGCTCTAGATAAGGTAATATAGTATGCAATCTAGTCGATTGTCCATTTGGTTTGCAACATTAACAACTTGCTAGAATGCATGGGATGAATGGGTCTATGGGTCATGAATGGCTCCATTCCATACATAGCATGGGTCATTGCTATGGGCATGATGTTCCATCTGGGGAATAAGGATTGGATATTCGTAAAATATTATATGCCTGTGTTTTTTTTACACCATAATACACGTGGACCAATAGCAGGCATACAACCATTGTAAAATCCACCCTTTACGAATTGCACGCCATACAAATACTTGAATGGCAGCTTTTTCTCTCCTCCCCTCCTACTCAAAAGTCCCATGCTCTCACTGGGCAATTATAAACACATCTATCCAGGACGACCACCACCCTGCTCTTTGTTGTGTTTTAATGAAAGAAACTTTTCATTCCTGTGTGACTCTTTCTTGCCTTCTTAGGAAAAGCGAGAGCTGTTCCAACGAGAACCCCACAAAGGAGAGAGAATGGGCTCCTGAAGGCCGTTAATTTTTTGCCCTGGCTGGAACCACTTTAATGTGATGGTCCTGGAGCATATCCGACCAACAATGAGCTTAGATCATTCGAAGGGAGTGGAAACGGATTCGGACTTTGATCCAGATCCATGCCAGACTTCCACAGAAGTTTCTGCAATGTGATCCAGGGGTGAGCGCTCGAATTGCTCACACAACCAGAAAAGGAGAGCTCACTTTAGCGGCCTTTAAATGCACCAATGTTTTCTCCACTCCCAGATCTCAGGCTCTCACACACCATACTTTGCATCCACAAGAAAAGAAGAAAATGGAGAGCTACCAGCGATTGATCGTGATCTTCGCTCCATCGTCTCTGGCTAGCTCACTTTCAGCAACCTTCCCAAAGGCACCACTTATCCTCCAGACGGCACCAAGCTGCTCGAGGTCCGGACGCTTCCAAAGTACTCGATCCATCCACCGGCAGGCCCGAATCACGTCCCCCCCTCGACACACAAAGTTCGAACTTTCCACAAGCTTCCGAAGTCTCAGCACACTCCATCGGCAGGCCCGAGCAGACCAAGAGTCTGACTCGAAAGAGCCACTGGCTTTCTTGTAACAAAATGTGTATTGCATGGAATTGTTAAACCACTTTCCTGTATCTATCGATCTAGTAGTATGCACAAGAAGAGAGAGGATTACTCTATGGTGAGAAATGAAAGTACCTGTGACTGGAAGGAGGAAAGATCTCTTTCTTTTCAGGCAGCCGAGGCTCGCTTGAGCAGCACCACCGAGAGAACGACGAGGCTCAGCATGAAACACGACTTGATGGCTGGGTCGGCAAAGTTTCCATCCTTGGTTGAGAAGAACTTATTGTCGGCGAATGATAGGAAGCTGGAGAGAAGCTCAGTGAGCATGCGCTTGACTCGAAGGTAGGCATTCTTGGAGTAATCCAGCAGCTGCGCGAGGAAATCCACCAGGTTGGGGTTGGGCTGATCGCTGGGGCGTGTGTGCTTGCTCCCCTCCTGTATGACCTCGCCATCGCCAGCTACAAAGCTCTCGTATCCTGGAACGGAGCTACGTGGAGCAAAGTGGAACAAGCTTAAACGCACACACTCACCATTCTCCTGGAGCTTCTTCCTAAACTCCTTGACTTTCTCGTTCGCCAGTACGGCATCCCACACGGCTTTGTCACTGGCGACCGACATCACGACCCCCTGGAAGAAAAATGTCACCACTGAGTAAAAAAAAGAAGAAATAAAAAAACACTTACTTGAACGATAGGATCGTTCTGGAGCAAACTAAACGCCTCGGCAACCTCGTTCCTTCTACAGACTTGGACGTTGCCAGGCTCATGCGACACCAAATGCGGCTCGATCCAATCCACAACCGGGTGACCGAGATGAACACTGCTTGGCCCTCGAATGCTCGAAACCGGGGAGTCTTGCTGCAAAGCTGGAGTTGGAAGTCCCTCTCCAAAACACCTTCCAGAAAAAAAACGAAAAAAAAATTCTTAATTTTTACATCAAGGAAAAGAACAAACTTACATGCCAAGGGCATTCTGCAAATCCGCGGTAGCCTCCTCGACCTCGTCCCGCGACGGCGCCGCTCCAAACACCAAATGGTCGCGGACGAAATACTCGGATCGCTCCTCATCTCCCGCAAACACCCAATCATCCGCCACTGCCGCGCGGAGCGGCAGCGCGGCGGCGCTGGTGGCGCTGGCACTGCCCATCATCACCGACTGGGGCACGCTCGACGATGTCGCTGCCGCCGCCACCGCTGCTAGACCCACAATCGGAGGCTTGGTGACGGCCTTAGCCACTCCCCGCAGTAGAATCCCTCCTCCCATCGCTCTGACCTCGCCCTCCCGCGCCTTCTTTTAGAAACAAGCTCCCTCTCTCTTGTTTCTTTCTTTTTAGGGCTCTTATAGATGAGAATATCCCCTGACGAGATTATCTCGCCGACTGATACCGTGTGAGTTTATAAACAGGTTAAGGCAGCTAGTAGATGGGGTTCCGGATCTAACTTTTTGCCCCTTTATTATTATTATTATTATTAAAGAACCATAATTACCATGCTCAAAAAATTCTAATTTTTCCAAGTCGGATTCAAGAACTTGGCGTGACGTCCGAAGAGCCGTTAATTTAGGGTTCTTCCTCAAGGCGCCCTAATTTTGGAATAATGGCTGGGCGGATGCTCCAGCGGGGGCGACGCCGCGCGCGGCTCCTCGTTGCTCTTGGATTTCTCCTACTTTTTGCATTCGATGTCGCTAGGCGCTACCGCCAGCTCTCGATCTCCCAGGTGAGTGAGATTTTCTTCTAGTCCTGAGAGGGCGATCGGGGTGAAATGCAGGCTAGATCAAGGCCTGTGACGAACACTCTCGAGGAATGCCGCAAGTTTGTCACTCCCGCGAGGCTAGCCAAAAGTCTGGTGGACATCACAGCAAGAAGCTCCGAGGTTCTTGCTCTATGATCATACAACCGGTAAGTGTTGTAGAGATTTATTCCTTGTTCTTGATCCGTAGCAGGGAGATTCACCTCCGCGTGTGGCGCTCTGCCTGTATGGCGAAGCCAGACAGTTTGAGCTCACAGGACTGAGCCTCAAGAACTACGTCTTGGACGTGCTGCCCGACGCTCACGTCTTCCTCCACGCGCCCCTGGATCGCGATTCATACAAGCTGGAAATCCTCCGCAGTGCAAAGTCACGCTTTGCAAAGGCAAGGCTCTTCACGCCCGCGAGAATTCCCGAGACCAACGTCCTTCGAGAGGTTGTCGGGGCGGAAGGTTCTTCTCATGGCTTGCAAGGCCTGCTACATTTTTTCCGCTTGATCGAGGGGTGTGGAGACTTGGTCACTGAATACGAGCGCAAGCACGAGTTTCTCTACGATTGGATCATCAAAGTGAGGCTGGACAGCTACTGGACAGATCCGATTCCAACCAAGTACGAGAGAGGTGTCTACACTATTCCATTCGGGAACAACTGTGGAGGAGTGAACGACAAGCTTGGAGTGGGTGATCGAGCCACTGCCATGGCCACAGGACTCAAGCTCAGCATCCTTCCGGCTCTCCATGCACAGGGCGATCGTAACTTATGGCCGGAAGCTCTTTTCGAGTCTCACTTGGAGCTCCAGCGAATTCTAGCAGTGCCGACCAACTTTTCCTTCTGCCTCATCGATCATAGGAAGTGGCCGTGGCCTCCAAAAGGTTGGCATCTATCAGTGCCTTCCATCTCCAGCAAGGGACCTTTGAACGGGGCTTACTGCCGGCCTTGCAATCCCAAAGTATCAAGCCTGGAGCGCTCGTCAGCGATTGTGGAGTCGCTGTGCAAGAGGTCCGGATGGTTTCCTACAGATGGAATGGAGAAGCTAGAGTTGTGTGATGCGTCAAGCCTGGAATGGGAGCGAGGCTGGGAGGCCTTGTTCGATTCGGCAGCAGGACAAGAAGCTGCCAAGACGAGAGAAAAGTTTGCCAGCAGCAAGCAGCTACAGGGGGATTGTGTTTTGCAGGCTTCTCTTTTCCAGAAGCGTTGGGAGATATGGGACGGTCCATCGCCACAGCAAGTTTGTAGCGTCAAGTCTGGAAATCCATGGCCAAAGTCATCACCAACAAGCTCTTAAATTTTCTTATCGCCCCAGAATGTTGGAAGCAGTGGTTCTTCAAATCTCGCGTGGCCGAGCCTGTGGCTCTCTCACGTGTTCATGATTCCAATCTATACATGATTTCTACCGTGTTCTTGTTCTTGGTGGTGGTGCTGTTGCTTGGCCCTCCAAATTTTTGTTTGAGGCTTCGAGGCAGTGGCTTTAGCTGCTCCAAGCCTTCGTCTAGCGCCGGTTCCACCACCACCACCTCCACCACCACCGCCACCGCCGCCGGTACTGTGTTGATCTTCCCACTGCCTGAGAATCTCTACGACCGAGTGGTGACAATAATACACCGCCACGTCCAGTGCTCGGTGTCCATACTCATCCGGGATCTCCACGGACGCCCCCGCTGCGAGAAGATTGGTGACAAACCACACCGAGGCTCTTCGCGCAGCTATGTGCATTGCGGTCTGACCATGCCTGTTTTGCGTGTCCAAAAGCCTTGTGGCTGGTGAGGAGGAACTCGACGAGGACCTGCTAAAGTTGTAGCCGCTCGCCAGCAAAAGAGCTTTTCCAACGTCTTGCCTGTCCGCCACAGCTGCCGCCATGAGAGGAGTCCATCCATCACCTGGAAAAGAAGAAGAAACAAAGCGTTTAGCTACAAAGAAAGGAACTTTGGAAAAGCTTACCATATAGTTTCACGTCTTGCCAGTTCCATCCCCGCGTCGCACAAAAGGCGAGCATCACTTCGACCACGTCACAGTGGCCCTTGAGCGAGGCAATGTAGATGGGATTCTCCCCACCGCGGTTCTTTGCAAACATATCAGCGCCACCTTCTAGCAGGAGCTTGCAAACTGGAGCGTGGCCAAACTCAGCAGCCACGAACAGCGGCGTAGCTCCTGACGAGTCCAAAATCCCCCTAGGTGCAGCACCGATGTCGATGAGGCATTTTACCGAGTGAGCTTCGCCCTGGCATGACGTCCAGTGAAGAGGCGTCCGGCGGCGGATATCCGAGCAGTTTGCAGCGGCACGGAGTGCTAGAGCAACGTCCTCGCGAATGTCTTCCCAGTTGCTTAAGATTGGAAGGTCCGGGCTCTTGATACTGCTTCCTCTCAAAAACCACACAGCTGCCGTGACCGATTGTTCCTCACAAAAGTTCCAGACTTGTATTAAATTAAGAAGCTCCTCCCTGCAAATGGAAGCGAACACTCCATTGAAGAGAAAGGAAAAAAAAACGTACCTCACTGCATGAACAACCGGTTGTGTAAAGAAGGTGAGCTCCAGCATTTGGAGCTTCTTAAGAGAACGAGCAAAGTCCACAAGAGTTATAGTAGCAATAGAGACTCTCTCCTCCGAGAGGTTCTCTTCTCTAGACAACCCCAAGGCCTCGACCGATCCTCCCAAGAACATAAGCTCCACTAAAGGACATGTTACGGCCTGAAAAATCAACCATTGCTGCAAGGAAAAAAAACAAAAAACAAAAAATCTTACCACCGCTGCCAGCTCAAATGTTCCAAGGCCACCGCAATTGTGTAGAGCCAGAATTCTCAAAGCAGATCCCAGACTCCCCCTCTCAAATGAATGAGGGAGCTCATATATATGTTCCTCCTCGATGAGAGGAGACTCCCTGGGAAGTTCCAATCTGTCGAGGTGACTAAGAAGAATACACCGTAGTCGAGAGCCATCCGCGGCTGCGGCAGCCAGCAAGTTTCCAGCCGCTGTCGGTCCAATTCTAAAACATCGCTGTAAGCTGAGAGCTCTCGGTCCCGATCTCACGGACACTGCCAAGGCATCTATCACAGAGGAAGTCCTGCAGAGACCAAGACGCGTTAGAGAAAAGAAAGATATTCTAAACCTACGTACAAGCTACGTAGAGAATGAGAAGGAAACTTACAACTTCTGGCAGCTGTCGAGAATGAGGCAATGCAGGTTCCGGAGATAGCCGAGTAGAGACGCAACGTCGTCGTCCATGATCGAGCAGCCAGTCAGATCCAAAAGTCGCGTGAGTGGCATCCGAGCTCGGATCATCGCCACTGCCGCGCGCTGCCACGCTCCAGGACTAAACTTGAGCTCCTTGTCCTCGAGCATCCCCGGCACCAGCCGCAGCTCCCACGAGACCGTGGCCACCAGAGCCTTGAATTGCCGAGAGGCCGATAAGATGGAGGCCAGGTGAACGGGGTCGGAGATCCTGGACAGCACGTCCACCAAGAGACTGGTTGGCAAATCCATGAGCTCTGTAGGAACAGAGTCCTCATGGGAAGAATTCGCTACCTCCATCCCACAAGAGAAATCTTCAGAAGTAGATGAAGAATCCCGTGGCGGCGGCGGTACCGTGCGCGTTGGACCAGCGAGGCGAGCAGTAATCTCTCAGGTGACCATGAGAGCGCCAAGACCTTCTACCGCTGCCCAGAAGCGCGCATCTAGATCTGCCGTGGCGCAGGCACAGCAGCCTACGCGATTTGAGGCGCAGCACCAGACGGTGGACTCCTCCTCCCTGACGAGACATGTAAATCCAGTTCGAGAATGCGGCAGCGGGGCATTCCAGCTCGAGCCCTAATTCATTAGGGCTCTTGGCTAGGTATATTCCGTCAGTCCACGGTTGTTTCGCATTTGCAGGAAGAGTGCATGAGAGGAAGAAGAAAGAAGAAATAGTCGTGGTGAGGCATTCGTCTCACAAAAATGAGCTGTTAATCAAGCGGAACCTTGCAGCGGTAGTGATTTCGTGGATTTGTCTCTTGCAAAGAATTGCAGCCATGATCCATCGCGAGCACGTCCCAAATCCCCATGCAACCAAAGGCCGAGCCATGAACAAGAAGGCTCCTAAAATGTGAGCGTCTTGCTTGCAGCTCCACAAGATTAAACACATGAATCCTCGCTCCCGCAGCTGCCGTTTGCTTGATTCTTCCTTTGATGCTGGAAAGTTGTCCGAGCTGACTTAGACTACAGGATAGAGCCTCTCAAGATGAAAGTGAAGAAACGTATTGTAAGCTCATGCTTTTCGCTCGTTTCTTTCGCTACCAAGGTCCATCTCTTCTCTTCTTTTGGAAGCTCGCGTCCATGCAGGGGCCAACGACAGACGATTTGATGACTTACAGTACGCTGACGACTGGATAAAGATGAACAACACCACCAGCATGACAGTTCGTCCCTCCCTGGACGACCAAGAAAGTGGAAGCCCGCTCCGTAACCCCTCGCCGGAGGAGCGCTTCGTCACGTCCAAGTTCAAAGTCGCTCCATCACAAGATCGACAACGTCCAGACCTTTTGGTACGAGAAGACGCCTCTGGAAGCGACAGCGGCACGAGAGCTCATGGCCGAGCCAGTAAGAGCAAGTTAGTCTCTGCACCACAAGACTATCAAAACAACATAGAAATTGATAGATTTATATCTCATTCCGGCCGTGCGCAGCAAGGAGTGCTTGCTCTGTGACTCGCGCCTTGAGCCCCGCCCTCGACATCTCCGCAAGCTTTTCCTCTTCCACCCATCGATCAAGGCATTGTCGGTGCGGATGTCCAAGACATCATCGTCCATTTCGTCCAGCGCCTACTCCATCGTCCCTTCGCTTCATACATAGACGATGTTGGCAGCCTTGACAAGCTCGGCCTTCCCGGGCTTGGATCGCTCGATCAAGCAGCCTCCATCTTTCTGAAAGAAGAGCTCTCGAGAAGTCCGCCTCGAGCTGGCACGACGAAACATGGCTCCAGATCTCGTCCATCCGAAGCTCTTCACCATCAATGTCCAGGCCGAGACGTCCGGAGCATCTCTCTACCCTTTGGAAGTCCTTCCTTCTCCCGTAGATGCCCACCGTGAGACCATATGCCTTTGCGTCGAGCTCCTCCGTTGAGCAGCAGTTTCTGACTCGAGCGAGCTTCGGTCTCCAGTGAGCGTCCGGATAGCGTTTGTTCCAACGCCGCTTGTCGAGCGGCTGCCATGTCAGCGCCTTGCCATAGACTTCATCGCGCTAAGTGCTAAACATGTAGCGGAAGAGGCCCTCCATGTTTGCGAGCATGCCTGCTTTGATCACCAAGCCGAAGCTTCACATGGAGGTACCTGTGCGGTGAGTGTGGATGACTTGAGCTCTCTGCGAAGTTGGCTTTGTTTCTTCACAAAGAACATCCATGAACGTGGAGCGCTCGCTTCTCGGCGACCCTCCTTGCTCAGCCAGGTATGGTGGTGTCAAAGAGTTATAGGAGAGTATGGGGATGATCCCAACCTGGTGAACCAGTGGAGGAGAGGCAAGGCAGTGCAATCTCATCAGGCAATACTCGGCGAATTATTCGTTGCTTCGCTGGGAGGCCTATGGCGACCTCGGCATAGGCGTCTTGCACCTCTTTCCTTCGGAAGCATCCGTAATGGCGCAACTGGCTGGCAGATGAAGGGGCTGGTCTTGATTATTGGGACAATCTGACTCATGTCTTCGAGCTCGGCTGGACGGCAGTTCATACAGGGGTGATGCCCGAGATTGATGACCGGCTTAGAGAGTTCATGAACCAACTCATTTCTTCATCTTCAACGTGGAGAGGGAGCTGCAAAACTGTAAGATAAGCTCCTGTTTCCCCTTTTTTCCTTTCTTTGTCATACTTGGTCTTGTTCAGGTGATGGAGAGCTGAAAACGGTGCTGTCGTGGTATTATACAGATGCCAGTGTCTACGGGTGTCCTGGGTCCCGATCGGAAGCGAATTGCCCCATTCGCAACATCCAACCCATCCTGCTTAGCGTCTCTGCTTGGGAGCGGTGCCTCGAGGCCATGCGCATTTGCGACTTCCTCGGGGAGCTGCTGTGCCTCGGCCACCCAACTCAACCATGCCCCACTTCCAAGCTGTGATAGTGAGAGATTTCGAAGTATTAAGTTGCTGCTTGTGCAGGATTTACAAGCCTCTTTCTTTTGCTTGTGCTGCAGGACTGCATTGAACACACCTGGCTGTGGATGCGAGGCTCCCAGCTCAACATATACACCGGCATAAACGTAACGTGTATGTGGTTTCCTCACTGCTTGGAATGGTGTTTTAATCATTTGCTTGTGCCCGTCAGATGCCAACCTGGTGCAAGTTTTTTCCTCGGATTCGAGTGCTGCTGGGAAGCTACGACACCGGTAACATACTTGCCTTTTGTCATGTACTTGTCTAACTCAGTTCCTTCCACGCGTCAGCTTTGAGAGTGTTTCCCAGGCAAGTCGCAAGTTGACGCACTGGTTCATGCTCCCAACCTTGACTGGCTATGTCTCCACCCAGATCTGCTGCGGTTTGGAGGCATGGACGAAGATGAAATCCCATGCGACAAGGACGAAGACTGCGGTTTTGATGACAGTGGTATCGAAAAGTCTCTTTTGAAATATCGCAGTTTTTATGTCTTGATATGTCATATCTTTACAATGTATACTGGAGCTTCCTTGGCCTCCACTGGTGCTTATTCAATGAGACACACGACCATTAGCAGAACATTCTTTTACATCCTCCCTTCTGTCAATTTTTGAAACCCATATTAACTCAGACACATGTACGTGGGAACATCTCCCTCCTTGACAAGCCGTTGAAACTCGAGGATGATGTCCAGACGTCCCATCGCGAGCGACTGGAGAAATCTCCATGAACTATATCATCAGTGGCCTCTAAACCAAGATAAAAAGAGAACTCACTTCTTTAGTTTTGGATCCAGTGTCAGCGTTCTTGTTATTCCTAGAATCCAGGCAGGACAGATCAACGTGTCTTGAGCAGCAACTGGAGAAATCTCCATGGACTGTACCGTCAATCAAGAATTTATAGCTTGGCCTCTAAACCAATAAAAGAAGAGAACTCACTTGGATCCAGTGTCAGCGTTCTTGTCGTTCCTCGGCCAGATCAACGCAGCTTGTCTTGAGCAGCGACTACTGTATGGTCAAGAACTGTTGGCCTCTAAGAGAGAATTGAATGATGAGGCTAGCTTGTTAAAACCTCCATCAAGGTCCAAATCCATGTCGCTGCAACAAGACGCATCATCGATCACTCGCATCCGAGAAAGTAATATCCACTCACAATTTGGAGAGATCAAACGCGTTCCCGGTCTTGGCCACGGCCCAGAGGCGGCGAGTCGTCAACAGCGCCGCAGTGAGCTTCCCACGGATCATCGCCTGCGCCATAATCCACAGTAAAACACCCGCATTCTGCCTGTTAAACTTGGATCCTAACCGAAGCTCCCGGCCGCCATCGCCATCGCCTTCACGCCAAAGCCCACCCGAAGAACCATCCTCCTCTTGATTTTGCCGCTCTTGGGCAGTGGCGATTTTTCTACGTCGATGCCGAGATCGCCGATGGAAATGGATCCAAGGACGCTGTCTGTGACTTCATGTCCCCCACGAGCTCCATGATCCACGAGCTCCATGATTGTGAGTGGATTGATTCTCCACAATGGATTGCACGCGAGTCGATGTGGATGACCTCTCGCTTGGAGTTTCTCGACACGAAATCGCTCTACCAGCTCTTGTGATGTCGAAGCTCCTACTTCCACTTCTTCGATAGTAAGCATTGAATCGTTTTGCAGCATCCGGAAGCAAATGACGTCGCGCATCAACCAAGGGCGCAATGCTGCTGATACAAGATTATATAGTGGAACGCTCGGATTGGGAATCCTCGGACAAGGCTGTCGAAGATCGGGAAAGCGTTGAGAACCTTGGACCAACTCATGGTAACAAATACACAACGTTTGGTTTGGTTTGGACTTGTGATATTTTTATAGGATGAAGCTACAATCCGACTTTGGTAGCCATCACCGAGCACCGAATATTTGTTGCTGGACCGGGGCGTCTTGTAACCGCTGTTGCTGGCCCTGCTGGTGTTCGGGTAAAAGCTGGGTAAAACGTTTTGATTCTGATTTTGACCCGGTGGTGTTTTCTGCAGATACTGTCTGCGCCAGATTTGCTAGTGAAAGAAACTGAAGTTCGCGAGTATGAGGTGTGCTGATGGTTTAGAGTTCCCTGTTCTTTGTTGTTTATCAAGCCAGATTCTCTTGCACCTTGCACACGACGAGTTCCCGATCATGTTCCATCCGACTTTGGATTTGGCAAAAGTGGAGTAGTTTTGTTGTTATCGCTGGTGTTCAGCAGGCGGGCTTGAAGACTTGGGACGTGGCGAGCCGTTTGTGTGAAATGGACGCGGCCAAGGAATCTTCAGTTCTTGTAGAGAAGAAGCGGGGATCTGGCTGTTCTGGAGCCTCTAGAAAATGAGACTAAAAGTAGCTTCTTTTTAGTTTGCTACCATAGTTAAAGTTGCAAAAAGAAGAGTCTCATTATTACATCGTTTTGCAACCTTGAATATCCGCACTCTTGAGAACTTAATTCCTGAACTTGATCAACATTCTTCTTAATCTTGAGATCTTGAGTACAATCCTGTGCTTTATGGATGGAATACAACCAAAGTCTTAGAGATCACGAAGCTTGTCAGAGCAACGACTATGGGATGGGAGCTGGGCAACACTTTCACGCAGCACAAAGTTATGGTTTGCATTTGGAGAGATACGGCCACGCTGGAGTGGAAGCCGGGAGCTTACGCGCGATCGTGGCCGATGGAGAGAACGCTGCCTTGCAGTACAGCTTGGACGAACGATCACAGCAGGCTTCTCGGCAGTGGGTGGCGGCCAATTGTTTGTGATCGGCAGACGGTATATTCCATGAAAGAATATACTGTCAGCTCGTTTAAACATTTCACGCCTCCTAAAATCTCAGGAAGAGTGAGTGAGAAAGAAGAAACAGTTTTAGGGCGAGAAGCTCCATTCGCGCGCGCTCGCTCGCTCGCCGCCAGCGCTGGAGCTCCCGCCAGATCCACGATGTCGAATCCAGGTAACATGACTTACGACGAGTCGGATCGCCCCAGGATGGGCGTGGTGAGGCATTCGTCGCACAAAAATGAGCTGCTCATCAAGCCGAGGCTTGCGGCGGTAGCGATTTCATGGATTCTCTCTCTTTCTTCCTACATTCGTGGATTTGCTTTCTTCAGGTGAAAAGGCCAACCCGGGACATTCCTCCCGAGACGTTCAGCTACGGGATCATCGACGAGCGGGGAGACACTGTCAAGGAATGTAAGCTTTTTTTCTTCGCAGCTCTTTTTCTTTTTTCCCGGTGGACTTACTTTATCTCTCGCAAAGAATTTGCAGCCATGATCCATCGCGAGCACGTCCCAAATCCTCATGCAACCAAGGGAAAGGATATCCGAGCCATGAACAAGAAGGCTCCTAAAATGTGAGCGTCTTGCTTGCAGCTCCACAAGATTAAACACATAAGGTGGAAACTTTCCTCGCTCTCGCAGAGCAGCTGCTCACTTTCTTTGTTTCGGTTTGGCTTTTTCCTTTGATGCAGGAACGTTGTCCGAGCTGACCAGCAAAGAGGCTACAGGTTAGAGCACCCTCTCAAGTTGAAAGTGAAGAAACGTATTGTAAGCTCGTTCTTTTGCTCCCGTTTCTTTCGCGTCCTGATCTTCGACTAGTAGGCAAACGTTCCTCCTTTACCGTCGGTGAAAAATCCCGACCACGTCTACGGCTTGCCATTACCAAGGTAGACCTCTCCTCTTTAAAATGGTGGTGTAGAGATCTCACTCGCGTCCATGCAGGGGCGAAACAACAGACGAGTTGATGACTTACAGCTATGCCGAGGACTGGATAAAGATGAACCAGTACCACCAGCACGACCACGGTTTCATCAAGCCGCAGTTCGTCCCTCCCCGATCGACCAAGACGGTGGAAGTCCGCTCCGGCTCGTGCTACCAGAAGTACAACCCCCCGCCGGAGAAGGAGCGCTTCGTCATGTCCAAGTTCAAGGCGGTCCATCACAAGATCGACAACGTCCAGACCACTCCACTGCTGCGTGACGAGCGGCCGCCAGTGTTCCAGACGACGAGCTCCAAGAGGAGGGGCGGTGTCTACGGCGCTCAAGGGGCTCTTAGATACTGTGGCGATGGCGACGACTATCCCAGCTGCGGGGTGGCGGGCATTAGAACCCGGCTTCCTTGCTCTGGCATCTCGCCGCTACTGCCCCGGAGGAACGACGCGGACGTGGTCTGCGTTGCGGATCAGCCACCCGGCAGGGTGTTGCTTCCCAGGTTCTACAAGCCGTGTAGCAGCAATCCGGCGAATCCATGCGCTTCGCATCCCAGGAGGAGCGATCCCGACGAAGCCGTGACGACTGTAAGAAGAGAAGTTACTCTACGGGGGCCTCGAAGGAGTGATCCTGACTAGAACTCGCTCGTCCTCGGTGGACGCTACCGACGTTTTCCGAAAGAGATCTCCGGCAAACCCGAGACTTTGGTGGTGGTAAAATCGAAATCTTGTTTTCTTTCTGCGAACGAGTACATTTGAGAAAACGAACCATGCATTTGGGAAAACCATGGTCGTGCTATATACCATCGGAAGCTCTCAAGCTGGATCTTCTTTCTTACGTGTGGCTCCACCTCGAGCCTACAAACTTCGTAAGAATGAAGGACCTTCATGCTTTGGCGTCGTGGCTCTTGCGCATCTCGATGGCCTCGAGCTCCTGCGGCAGCGGCGGGACGAACCTCCTCCACAGCCAGTGCCGCCTCCACACGAACACCATCTCCTCGATGGGGATGCCTTTGGTCTCTGGGATGAGGAAGAGCGTGAAGGTGGTCATCACCAGCACCCAGGCGGCGAAGAAGAGGAAGATCCCGTACTTGAAATGACACAGCATCGAGAGGAAGGCCTGGGCGATGACGAAAGTGAAGAGCAAGTTTGTGCACACCACCACGCTCTGCCCCGACGACCGGATCTCCAGCGGGAAGATCTCGCTGGGGATGAGCCAGCCGAGCGGCCCCCACGACCACGCAAACGCCGAGACGAAGGTGCATATCATGCACACCACCACGATCGCGGCGGCGTGAGAGAGCTGCGAACCGTCCTCCTTGAGCCCGGTTCCCAGGATGATCGCTATCACCACCTGTGCGAGGAACATCTGGACGCCGGCTTCCAGCAGGAGGACTCTCCGGCCGAAGCGATCAACCGTGAGTATGGACACCACCGTGGAGACAACGTTGACGGCCCCGGTGATGGCGGCCGAGTAGAGGGAAGCGTCGCTCTCGAATCCCAGCGTCTGGAACAGCACCGGCGCGTAGAACATGATGGCGTTGATCCCTGTGAGCTGCTGGAATATTTGGAGTGCCAGGGAGATGACGAGCTGTGGCCTGTAAGCTCGGGAGAAGAAGAGGTTCCTGTATGGATGCTCCACCGACTTTGCGAGCCGGCTCACTTCCACGAGCTCGTCAAACTCCTCGTGGATGTTGTCTGTGCCTCTCACTCTCCGGAGCACGGTCTTGCCTCGTTCGAGGTGTCCTCGCTCGATCAGGCTGTTCGGTGTCTCGCACAGGCACAGGCTTCCGACTGTGAGCAGCACCGCGGGGATCCCAGCCAGGCCGAGTGAAAGCCGCCAGCCCCAGGGGTGGAGCTTGTCAGTGCCATAGTTGATGAGGTTGGCGATGAGGATGCCGATGGTCACGTTGAGCTGGAAGAGGATGTTGAGGCCGCCCCGGTAACGAGTAGGAGCAATCTCGGAGAGGTAGAGTGGAACGGCCTGGTTGGCGAAGCCGACGCCGCAGCCGAGAAGGATCCGGCCGATGATGAGCATGGCCAGGTTCTCCGCAGCAGCGTTGAACACCACCCCGGCGATGAAGAACAGTCCCGCTATCAGCATGGTTGGCTTCCGACCGAATCTCTGCGTCGTGTACGAGGCTGCGAAGGTGGCCACCAGACCCGCAAGGTAGAGTGACGACGTAAACGCTTGCAGGCCCTGGTCATCATACTTGCAGTAGTTTCCTTCTTTTCCAGCAAGCTCCAGCTTCTTCCGTAGAATGCTGGGGAAAAACTTTCCCAGGAAATCGTTCATGGAGGTGACACCACCTGTACAAGACCAAGAAAGAAATTTTATCCATTGGTCACAGTCGGGACGAGAAATCTTCGAGGAGCGAAATTGAGGCTTACCTGAGATCCCGACATCGTATCCAAACATAAGTCCTCCCGTAGCTGCCAAAAGGCAGGCAACAGCAACGTAGGCGGTGAACTTCCCTTCATGCTGGCTTCCTCCAGGACCTGCTGCAAATCCTCCGGCCATGGTTTCGAGCAAGAGCTAGCTCGAGCAGTAGCTGGAGAGATTCAGCCTCTCTCCCCTGCTTATAAAGCTCATAGGATCTCCACTTTATTCAACGAGGCCGTCTCACGTGTCGGATCCTGACAGGCTTGTGCTGTTCACAGTCATCCTCGTTGACGAAACATCTGTGGCGCTGGAAGGACGGGTTTCTAACTCTGGACCCGTCTCGTTTGTTGACCTCGCCGCCGACATTTCGGAAAATAATATCGGGGAGCACTGCCACGTTGTTGTAATCTTGATGTCATCCTGTACAATAATACAAACACGCAAGGATCAATGCCAGAGACTGTCAGTTAACAGTCGAATTTGACTACCGACCTTTTGGAGCGGAGCGGAGATTTTCTGTCATGGACTGCAAGGTCGCAAAAGTTGCAAGAAAATTGTAGATGCACCTGTCTTAGTTACACAGGGAGAACACTTACAAGGCGATTTGTACATAGACTACATTCTGCAATATACACCATCCTTTTCGTAGATTGAAAAACTTTCCTCCAGGCCCTTTAGAAGTGTCAATATGGCACTTGCGTCTGTGTCAGAAAACCGGGAACTGATTTCCTTCAGGGTGGCCTACACAGAATAGTTAAAAAACCACGAGCGTTTTTTTTACAACTGACATACCCCATCACGTGAAAGGAGCCACTCCATTATACCTTCGTCCGTCGCTTGCCTGCTTTCGGCAGTGCGCATCTTCTTGCACTCGCCATTCGCCAGTTCCTCCACGTCTAAACGTCTCGGCTTTGTCGAAGTTTTAGTACGAATGTCGAGCCATGGAGGACGGTCTATGGATTCGTTGCGCGGTTCTTCATCGAGATCTATAACCTCGACATTGCGGTCTTGAGTATCCACGTTAGGACTAAGGCCCAAATCCACTCCTAGTTCTTCCGCAAGTAAATAGATTTTGATATGAGCATAAGAGACCTGCTTTCAAAGAACAAAAAGAAATGTTACAAGAAATGGAAGACACAGTGCTTACCGTTTCTGGTAGATTCTCTTTCAGAGGTTTCATCTTCTCTCTCGATCCCACTTTACCAATTGCAGCTCGAATCTGTTCTCTAATGCAAGTAGTCATGCCTGTCGCGTCGAAGAAGCGACTCCAATCAGCTTCGCATCCAGCACGAAGGCACTCTAATATGTACTCAATAACTGTATCTTCTTTAATTGGCCTAGGACGCTCCGGAAGATTCTGTTCATAGCAGAAATAAATTCAATCACAAAAATTTCGAAAGGAAAACAAAAACATACCGCAATCTCAAAGAATGACATTTTCTTTTCATGCCACATGCTCCATGCTTCAGACTTTGCTGGAGTCAACATAGACCGATCCGAGGTCCTAGAAGCAGCAGCCTTCTGCACAATGCTTTCCTTGTCTTGTTCCAATCCGGTTTCTTGACAAATGCGCTTAACGCACTCGAGAAATGCTTCACCATATTCCGTAACAAGCCACTGGCACGTACCCCGATAAGAACCCATAAGTAAAATCTAAAATATCACCTGATTTATGCCTTCGACATTTCGTAAACGTACGATATTCGAAGGCCTAGTGTTTGTGATCCTCTGCAAGGTCCGCTCGTTGCATATCATGTATCTAACAACACAAGTTAAGCAACTTAAACTGTACAGCCTTCGATCAGTGTTTCTTACGGGGCAGTTGAACTCTTGTCAGCTATGTCCGCTCTCAAGTCTATGAGTGCCTTAAATAATTTCATTTCCACCTGCAGAGACCTTTAGCACACACGGAGAAACTATTTGCTTCCGCTTACCTCCGGCAATCCATTCAAAGTGGGCCCTGGCGTACTCGCAGTAGCCGCATCAGGTGCACTACTTTTCTCTTCTCGAAGCATTTCCTCCGTGACAGGTAATACAAGTGATGCTCCATTCGGCAGCTCCTCCAAAAACCGCTGTCCCTTCGGTGACACGCTGATTGAAACAGACATCTGTCATGAGCTAAGTGCGTCCTATTTACCTCACAGTCCTGAATTTTTCTCGCGTCTCTCTTAAATAACCTGCAAAGAAATATCAGAAAGACATGAACACCCTCACGTGCTTGACAAACCCAAGGATAGAAGCTGATCCCCAAGTGCTTTCCACCAAGTAGCAGTCCTTTCGCGACCAAGGCCATGAACATGAAGCTTTTCGTAACCTCTCTCCACGACTTTCTTAGCCTACACAACTTCAAAACATCAAAACATCTTCATAGAAAAATAATACTTACAAGAGAGCCTCTTAAAACATCAATAGGCATATTCATCCCCCAAAAGCCTCCACATAATTTGACAGCTGCCAGAATTGCGTAAGCCTCCTGCACCATATCGCGCCGTTGAGCAGCAGTCTTGGTACAGTTATCACAGTTTCCTGCAGAGTCAAAAATGTTTTTCAGCAGTTCGAAACCAAAATGTCGTACCACAGTTGTCGTTCTTTGTTAACTCCCCAAAGTATTGCAAAATAAATTTCCGCCGGCAGGTTGTCGTTGTGCAATATCCTTGCGAAGCTGCGAAGGCATCTGCCACCGCTTTCTTCCGTTCTTGCTGATAAATTTACGAAAGGAAGGTCATATAAGAATCACCATTTGAAGACATACCGTGCGAACTTCCGAAGTGTAAAATTCCGCTCGCGTAAAGTCAGCACGCGTAAAATATAGCCAGCATGCTGATGGCAAACCATCTCTACCGCACCTACCACTCTCCTGGTAATAAGACTCCAAAGATTTTGGACAGCCATAATGTATCACTCTTCGTATATCCGGTTTATCAATGCCCATTCCAAAGGCAACAGTCGCAACCACAACTTGAAGTTCATCTTTCAGGAAAGTCCTGTAATAGAAAGTTGGCCACCGCAATCTCGAAAAAACAAAAAACTTTCTCAGAAAACTACCTGTGAACATCGTTCCTTTCCTTGAGTCCGAGCTTGCTGTGGTATGCTCGTGCAGCGGCACCTGCTTTCACCAAGGCGTTTGTGACCTGCCATCAACTTTCAAACAGGTGATAAACCGAGACTCTTGTACCTCATCTACATCCTTGATAGTGTTGCAATACACGATAGTGGAGCCTCCCTGTTCTAAGTCCTTCACAACTTCAGTGGCAAGCTCTTCGCGGAAGGCATTGGACCTAGTCAACGGCTTCACACCATACAAGATATTTGGCCGATCAAACGAAGAAACGGCTATGTAGGCATTTGTAAGCATGAGCGATTTTAATATGTCCTCCCGCACCCTGGAAACGACGTCAAGCCCCGTCCATAGAAACGCCACAAGCGCGTCTTACTTATGTGTGGCGGTGGCAGTCAGTGCAACGAATGGAACCTCGGGAAGCTTCGATCTGATCGAACTAAGCCGCTGGTACTCAGGCCTGCAATTAAACAAATGACGCTCATTGACACGCCCAAGAAAACAGGACCTGAAGTCGTGTCCCCATTCTGAGATACAATGCGCCTCGTCAACAGCCAACAAAGAAACACCACGACTCAGCAGCGAGGTCCACGTACTGCAAACACATCGATTCGCATGCAAGATGGAACATTGATGATAAAAAGAAAAAGAAAACTCACGTTCCACAGGCCTTCTCTGGAGTCATGTAAAGGATATCATACTCTCCCCTTCCGGCTTTATCTTCTACGGTCTTATCAGTCTGAGCACTGCCCAGGTATTCCGCTTTGATACCACGTAGCTTCAGCCCCATTACCTGGAATACAAGACGTTCTCTCGATCAGGAGAAAAAGAATGAAGAAAAAAAAAATGTAGCTATGGAAAAACCTGATCTTGCATCAAACTGATCAAGGGGCTGATAACAACGGCGGTTTTACTGCTCACGAGGGGCGGAATTTGGTAGCTGCACCAATGTAGACGAAATTTTCCTAGAGTTAGTACCACAAGCAAAAAAAAGAAAAAGAAAAAATCCAAGGAAAGAAGCATCGGGCGCTTACCAGATCGATTTGCCGCTGCCAGTAGCCATCACAACAAGACAATCCCTCCCACGCAATATCTGCTGTATCACCTCCTTTTGAAACGGACGAAACGATGAATAGCCAAAATAATCCTGGATCAAGGCAAGCGCCAACAATGCAGCGATCAGAATCTCAATCCCAGGCACCGCGCGGCATCGCGCTCACCTTGAGGCAGCGCTCCATCGCCAAATCCCCTAAACCCTATTCCCACCGGCGGGACGCCATTTGGGCGGGAATCGAACCAAGAACTTTCCACCTGCTTAACACTGGAATCGATCCCGGGACGCGTTTAATGGAGAAGAGAGAGAAAGCGATCTATACAAAGAATCCAAATTAGAAGTACAATACTACGGCAAACAGTGCTACTAGGATCTAACAACTAAACAAATGTTAGAAGGACGAGCAAATCAGTGTAAGGTGTGTGTAAAACTAAGAGACTTTTTTATCTTACCATGTGTCTTGCCTTGCGAAGAGAGAGAGAGAGAACTGGATGATCTTCTCCTCTATCTCTCCCTCAGCTGCTCACACCTATTTGCGCTGGCTGTGCTTCTTGCGACTTTGCCATTGTCTCGGTCTTCGCACAGCTTATCACCGGGGCAGTGGAAGAAGCTTTCCCCGCTCCCTTCTTTGCTTGGTCGCCACTTTGATCTTCTTTTGCCGGATCTTCCGCCGCTGCTGGAGTTTCTTCCCCTGCTGCTTCGTCTTGAGTTGTTTTGGCCTCGGCTTTAGCTCCACCGTCTTGCTCTTCTTTGCCGTTCTCGTCCGCCTTGTCCGAGTCCTTGACGCCGCCTTCTTCGTCGTCTGGAGACTTTATCGCTGCCACGGCCTTCTTCTTCCTCCCGCGCCGTGGAGTGGTCGGCTCCGCCTCGGCCCAGCTGTCCGAGGGCCGCTTCCTCGAGCTCAGCCTCTCGGATCTCCTCGGGGTCTCGCCTAAAAAGAAAATTTTCACAACATTTAGTAACTTCCAGCTCTGGAGGTAACTCACGCGGAACGGAAAAACGAGTTTTTTCTTCGCTTGACTGACCTGTACCCCAGTCAAAATCCGCTACGGGTGGCCCTCCCGAGTTAGCTTTGAGATAACGCTCCAGCTGCCGTTTGCTCTTAATCTCCTCTCCATCCGGAGCAACGAACGTGATGTCTCCTCGGCGAGGAGTGCCTCCTCGGCGCTGAGCCACCTGAAATTCCAAAAATCAGCCACTAGAACCAGCAACACATCACACAAACTTTTAGTCTCAAGAAACCCCAAGAAACGCAGCAAAACGAGAAAAACTTGAAAGTCCTAGCACATAATTCTCAGAAATCTGCAAACAGGCACAAGAAAACCACAGGCAAGAAGTCCAATTGCTCGCAAACGCGAAGACAAGAAAACTAGCAAAGAGCTACAAACCTTTTTCTTCCACCCCGGAGGTGCCGGGAGCTCCTCCCACACGATTCCGTCCCCGGCAAGCTCATCACCTTCCACCATGGCCGCCATAGCCTCCTCCTCCGAAGCAGCCATTATGTTCTTCTTCGCCAAAGTTTCTTTTCTTTCCATACGTACTTGCAACCCGTCACTGACGCGCTCCCTGACGGGTTGGGCCCCCGTCATTTGGGAAATATTCCCCAAATTTCAAACATATCCAGATCATTGGATGCGTTGCGCATGCCACTTGGCATGCCACGTGTACGGCGCTTGTCACTTCGGACAATTCAAACGTGAAATCCACTGAAAAAACACCAGAGCGAGTCACAGTCAGTTTATCTAGAAGAAGAAGAATTTAGTTCTCAAAATAATGCTTACTCTCTTTAATCTTCCCAATCATCTTCATCTCCATCACTGCCAGAAGTTTGTGGGAGGAACGCTTTCAAGTTTGCAATCTGCAAAAAAGGAGAAAAAATCATCCAAGCTTTGGCCAAAGACGAGACGATTAAAACTTGCCGGCAACGGAGACCTGCAACCACCAACACTCGTGAGATGGTTTTTGGTTTGTAGCTAAAGCGCGATAACTTTGATTACCTCGCGGACGAGCTTGCTCCAGTGTCGGAACCTTTAGACATCTGGAAAGAGCCAGTTACGCAACGGACGAAAAGCCTCACGATTATAACTAGAACTTACGCCGTGAGTGGCGCCTTTCATTGAAAGCCTTCGCATTTTTAGCGTCGACGCCATCTCAGCAAGCAGGTCCGCCTGCGCAATAGAAGAAATGGTGAGGAGGCAACACGCTCGACTTTTACCACCTGTTTAGAATGCGGAGGCTCGGCTTCTTGAGTTGGTTCTGATGTCTTCTCGGACACGTCGGTCTGTAAGAAACGAGCAAGCTAAAGGAAATAGAGATGATAAAATGGATAATGGCCTACCTTTCTTAGTTTGATGTTTGGACTTCGAATGGACGCAAGGAGTGCTGCTCTATTCGGTTCTGTAAAAGGATTCAGCAACATGAAAAGCAGCAGACAAAGGAGATTACCAATTGGAGGAATAGCTTGTGGAGGAGTTGACGAGGATGCAGACGCCTTGTCCTTGCTTGCTGCCCCAGGGTTCATGGTGCTGCTTATCATAGGTGGAGAAGGCAATGGTGGTGGTGGCGGAGGGATTATGCTTTTTCCTTGAACCAAAACAACAATCAGCAATGTCTATTACACGCAAAAAAGAACGTCCGCACCTCTATCGTCCTTCGTGTTCTGAGAAATTAGTCGAGGGGGCGGCTGGGGTGGACGTAGTTGCGGCATGGGAGCCTCCTCCATTTTCGGTGCAGGAGGAACGGTAATTTGAGAAGGATCTAAGAAACAAACTGGTACTGGTTATGTAACGTTGAGCATTCAATCCTTACTTCTCGATTCTTCAGCTTTGGGAGCATCTAGCTTTTGAGAGCTTTTATTGCTTGCCGAAGGCACGATTGATGTTAACTCCTGAACGTCAGTCCTCGAGCCTGATATATTTTTGGTATTTTTATTCTCCCTACATAGAAATATGAAGCATACCTGTCCAGCTAATATCCGCCACCATAGGCAAGTCCGGAATTTTGGAGGGCAAAGTGAACAGAGGAACTTGACGCAATGTCGGCTTGAATCCATACTCTTCTAGACCTGGAGCAGCCTAGTCACCAAAATAAATTCAGTGACTATAGTGCGTGCCTGTGCACATAGCTTACTGGATTGTTTCTTTGAGTGAGACTCTGAGGTGGCGGATAAAGCGCGGTAGATTTTCCAGAAGCCTCGGATGTAGCTTGTTCTGGTAGTTTAGTATGCCTGTTCATAGAGAATAAAAAACAGGATTAGAGTAAACATACGAAAATATAGTACTCAGGAAGAACGTCTGCTATGGATCTATCATTAAAATCAGCATCATCCTGTCCACAAGAACCAAACTACCGCCAATCACCACGACAAGAGACTAGAAAAAAAAGAAAAATAATACCTTGTGCATTGGTGTAACATTTAATCGTTCATGGCTAGTTTCCATGAAAAAACGAAAGAGCTCCAGCGTTCCTTCGTTTTCATCCTCCTGGCAATGCAAAAACAAGAAACTTTTCAGGCTGGCATGGCCTCCTCGCAAATCAATCACCTGAAAATTCCCCATATTGAGCTCTACTTTGAAGACTGGCAGAGGCTCGTCGTGTCCTCCAAACAGCGGCTTGAAATCCACAGCATCGGAAGAAACCTGCGGATATTTCGCGCTCGATAGCACCGTTATCGCTTGCCTCGACCCGGAGATAGAATCCACATTCGCCTGAAGAACTCCTCCAATCCAAAAAAACTCCAATGCAAATGCGATTGATACCTTCACCGTCTGGATCCTCCTCGACAGATCTTGCAATCGCTCGCGCTCCATCCCGACCTGCGCAAATAAACGACGATCACACCAAAACAAGGCCGGCGCTGGCATACGCGGCTCGTGATCCTCCCAAACACCGCATCGGCGGCGTCCTGGAGCTGCTCCAGCGCGCGCAGCAGATCCGAGTCCACTGGCGCCATGAGAGGGAAGACGCCAAGAACCCTAAAACCCCGGGAATCTTACTTAAAAACTAGAAGAGCCTGGCTTTGACAATGGAAGAATCCAGGCTTCTTCGCGCGCCAAATGGTGCGGAGAACGAGACCGAGAACACTTTGGAGTGAAACAAACCAGCGCCAGCGGCCAAGTCTTCGTCCATTTTCTTCCTTCTTTCCGGAACGAACAAGGCTCGCCTTTGCTCCATCAAGGAGAGCAGTACTACTACGAAATGGATTCTCTTCCTCAGATGGCTTTGACGAGTCTTAAACGTTGACAATCTTAAATCCCTCTCTCGCTCTCTCTCTTCTCTCTCACTCTCTCACTCTCGGTCTCCCTCCTCTCGTTTCTTCGGTCCTCGTTCTTCTGGTTCTTCTGTTCTTGCCAGTGATCTTTCTCGGGTGTTTCACAAAGCCAAACTCAAACCAGCAGGCTTTCTTCCTTGATATATAGCCCCTGTCGATCCAGCACTTGCTTCCAAACAGAGCTGCGTTCTCGGTCGTTTTAGAACCACCTTCGCTTCTTCTTCGCTGTAGCAAGCTCGTTCTTGGAGGAGTTCTCGACGTCTTCCTTTCTCGGCTTCCTCGCCGTGCTTGGGCGATCTTTCTAGGCGATCGGAGTCTAGTTCCAGTTCCTCGACGTAAACCAGCATTGTCTCTCAAGCACTTCCCATTGTCGCGGTCGGAGGACGTAACGATGGACGCGACTGCAATCCTGAGTGCCATTGCCTGCGACGAGCAAGCACTCGGATTCATGGAGCACGTAACAAGACACGTCTCCAGCGTCCAGGACTACGTCCTGCAGCTCTTGCTCGAGGCCAATGCTGGCACGGACTACTTCCAAAGGCATGGCCTCCACGGCATTCCAACCAAGGAGGAGTTTCGGAGGCTCCTCCCGATCACCACCTACAGCGACATGGAAGCGGACTTCCAGAGATTAGCAGACGGGGACGAGTCGAAAACCATTTGCGCTGCTCGAGTGCTAGAAATGCTTACCAGGTAAAAAACGAAACAGAGAACGCATTTTTTTTTCTCTTCTTTCGTCTCGTTGACTGACGAAAAAAATAAACACAGCTCTGGAACTTCTGGTGGGAAGCAAAAGCTCTTTCCAAAGTCGCCCAGCTACGATCAGGAGTTCGTGGCGCTCAACCGGGTGGCCCGAGCTGCACTAAACAAGTAAGTTTCCAAAAAAAAAAACCATTTTTGCGAGAGAATGAACAGAAAATCTTACCTTTTCGATTCTCCGTCGCAGGAAAGCACCGTACGCGAGCCGGGGAAAATCCTTGCAGTTCTTCTACGTGAGAAAGCCCGGGATCACATCCGGCGGCGTCACCACCACCTCGGGCCTCAGTGGCTACTTCACAAGTCCAGCGTTTCGCCAACGCAAGCTCGACCCGGAGTCGGGCTACACGAGCCCGGACCAAGTGATCCTCTGCGTCGACTATCAGCAAGCGAGCTACTGCCACCTCCTCTGCGGCCTCACGCAATCCCAGGAAGTCGTTTCCATCGGCGCGGCCTTCGCCTCCACTCTTGTCCGAAGCCTCAAGGCTCTCAAGGATCTCTGGCAAGAACTCTGCGTAGACATCGAGACCGGCCGTGTGAATGACAACATCGTCTCGGACTTATCCGTCAAACACGCCGTGAACGCTTTACTTAAGCCGGATCCAAAGCTGGCGGCGCTCGTCCGGCGAGAGTGTAGCAAGAGCAACTGGCGCGGGATTGTCCGCCGCCTCTGGCCGAGAGCACGGATCATCCAGGCCATCGTCACGGGCTCCATGCAGCAGTACGTGCCAGCGATCGACTTCTTCAGCGATGGCCTCCCGATCGCCTCGTCCATCTACGCCTCGTCCGAGTGTAGCACACTGGGAGTGAACTTAAGTCCAGTCTGCTCACCATACGACGTCCGCTACTCTCCATTCCCGTGCTTCGTCTACTACGAGTTCCTCCCCGTGAGCTCCAGTTCGAGCTCTTCGCCAAGCCGGGACGATCTCGTGCAGCTCGCAGAGGTAGAGCTCGGGCGAGAGTACGAGCTTGTCATCACCACCCGGGCCGGACTATACCGCTACCGCGTCGGGGACGTGCTCAAGGTGGTGGGCTTCAAAAACTCGATGCCGCAGTTCTCCTTCGTCGGCCGGGCGGGAGTTCTCTTGAGCGTCGACACGGACAAGACCGACGAGGTGGAGCTCCACACCGCCGTCACCACCGCCGCCGCGGTGATGGCCAAGAGGAACCGCGGCGACGTCCGGCTCCTCGACTACACTAGTAGAGTCAACTTGTCGTCCCAGCCGGGCCACTACGTTGTCTATTGGGAGCTCTCGTTGGATGCCGCTATGGAGTCCATGGAGGCGGAGCTCCGCAAGTGCTGCTCGGTGATGGAGGAATCGCTGTCCGTGGTGTATCGGCGGAACCGGCGAGAGGGCAGCGTTGGAGCGCTGGAGATCAAGGTGGTCGAGCCGGGAACTTTCGACCGGATAGTGGATCATGTTGTGTTTGTCGGTCAAGGGAGCATCGGGCAGTACAAGACGCCGAGGTGTGCCAGAGATCCGGCAGTACTTCGCATTCTAGAGTCGAGCGTCGTGGAAAGTTCCCGGGCGAGATAGAGAGAAGCCGGGAACTTTTCCTCCTTGGGCTAACTTGGTCTGACATAGCCAAAATAGAAAAACCCGTTTGAGAACTTCGTCGCTGTTGCCTGATGCTTACCAGTTGGAAGATTCAAAGGCAAAGATTTGTGGCTTTTCGTCAAAGAGATACGCACAATTTCTGGAAGATCATGTGTGAGGCAATTGGATAAAGAAGAATAGGAACGAGGAAAAACCCACCTGTGTGCCGGAAATCTCGTGGAAAATCAAGTTGGTTGTCATCCCATCCCTTGTTTCCATTGCCGAGAAGCGAAAGCTGATGTGAAGAAACACCTCCTGTGCCTGGTAGAGATCCTCCTAGCCCGAGGAAACCATATCATACTCTGACTTCGATAGTCAGTGAGCTCCTTGTCCCCGGCCCAAAGAAAAGTCTTCCACATGTCGTAGTCCGGCTTGGAAGGCATGGACTTTAGTAGCTCATCTCTGGGCTTGAGAAGCTTCATCACACGCAGGTAATCTTCCAGGACCGGATACACCTCAAAGTCTGCGACTTGCAGCTTCGTTAGTCCGGCAGAGACTTGCAAGTGGAGACCATGCTCGTAAAGATGGCGATTGTCTGGCATCACACGCCTCAGCCGCTGCGTACTTCCCTTTTGTGGCCAATCCAGAGACCATCAAACTCCACGACTCCAAATTCTCCTCCTCGATCGAATGGAAAACCGAGGGTTGCCTCCAAGGGCCTGCAAGAAGCCACACTCGGGTTTTTCATCCTCTGCACCATTGCCTTGGCCGTCTCAAGATCCCTGCTCTCGGTAAATGCTGCGATCATGGCCTACCACAGTTTCTCGTGCCCAGGCGACGCTCGGAAGATTGTATGTGTCATCGCGGCTCGCGCATACCCTCGATCATTGTCACCCAGGGATGTACAGCCGGATCCTTCGCCATCTTGAACAGCTCCTTGGCCTCGTCCATAAGCCCTCTGGTATACGCCAAGAGCATGATGTTCCAAGTCTTCACGTCCCGCTTCCCGGCGCCATCGAAGAACGCCCTGCCCTCCTTGATCTTCCCATTGACAATGTATGCTTCCAGCATGTTCATGCTGTTGCTCGTCGGTAGAGTATCATCCGGTTTTCGTGCTCGGCGTTCCTGATGGCCAGTTTGCTCGGCGACCCTGATGGCCAGTTTTCTAGGCGTGAAAGCTGTAACAGCCATGTTTGCTGGGCCGTTTGCTTCTTACTTGCAAAGGAATGCTCCTCGACAAGACTTTGATTCCACAACTGAGCACTTGAAGAGCACGAGTATAATCGGCGCCTACCACTCCAGTGTGATTCCCATGGCCAGTGGTGAATTTGTTCTGGTTTGGGGATGAAGAGCTCATCGGCAAGGTGGCTGGATTTTAACTTGGAAGCTATTAAGTTCTTCTCCGATCCGACCATTGTTGCGGTGGCTTTTGGATTCTATGGAGGGGAGAGGAGGAAATCGAATCCTTCCAAGAGGGCGAAGGCGCGCTGCAGGAGGAGCAAGCAAGTGCTGGAAAAATATCCAGGTGGAGGAATTCAAGCACAAGGACTTGGGACTTGAACAAGTTGGCTCCGTATGTTCACAATCCTGATAGAGAGTCAAGGACTGGAATCACCTACCAAATTAGAGGCACCGATTGCGAGCTCGATGGAACAATCCAATTCATAAATTCTGCTCGTCCAGAATTCGATGATCAATGCGTTCGTTTGGCAAGATTGGCAGCCTCGAGACTGGGAGGGAGAGATTACCAAGATAAGATTTTAGAGGAAGCTGACTGCACTGCCTTCGATCAAGTACCTCAATTGGTGGAAGCAGTTTGAACCGGCTTCGTTTCTTGGCAATCTCAATATTCGAGAAGATCCTCTTTTGCCGGAAGCTAGGAGGTTGAAACACGTCACGTTCATCGCACCCACTCCAGCATCGGATCCTTCGCCACCTCAGCACAATTATGTGTAGGAAGAATAAAAGTCAATTTTGCTCCTCCTATAAAAGCAGCCCATGCTTCAAACCAAACCCTAAAGGATGATGGCCAAGGAAGCTCTCGAGGCGCTGAAAAGGAACAAGGGGGATCCCATCCAAATCCAGCAGTCGCTGGATGTCCTGGCATATGGCTCTTGGGAGGGGATATCCAAGCACGAGATTAGAAAGGTGGTAGGGCAACGATTGCAAAAGGGAAGTGTGCTGGAGAGGCGGCTGAACAGGCAAGATCTGGAGGTGAAGCCTCTCCCAGAGCTACAACCTCCCAAGCCTTTCTTCCCCCAAGCTGCGATGCTAGAGTTTAGGACAGCGTTGGAGGCATGGCAATGCACACCCGAGTGCAAGAAGAAGCTGAGCTATCTCTACACCAACATTTCAAATTGCAACCACTTGCAAGCCACAATGCAAGCCGAGGTGAGGATGCGCCAGCATTGGAAAAGTTTGGTATCCGAGAGCAAGTGGAGATCGGTTTTAGAGTTTGGCACCTGGTTTATGGCCGTCTCGCTGCAGGGCTTCAGGAACATTGCCTTTGAACTGGCTAGTGATGCTGATAGAAGATTCAAGGAGCTGCACGATGCGTGTGCAGGGGGCCAGGTACCGGTAGACTGCCTTATCTGCTTCTTGGAGCCGTTTCTCAGGCTTATGGTCAGGGGAAGCTTGGTGCAAGAATGTGGTGCACGGATCAAGTTCATTGGGGCTTGTGCCTTGCTGCTTCAAGGGGTCGAGCTCAGGAATGTCGACACCTGCTGGAAGCTGTTGATCGAGAGCACCACAACACTTCCAAGTGAAGATGAAGATAAGCTTTTGGAGTTCTTGTCATCGGAGTGCAACCTGTCCAATCCCTTGCTCCAATCCATGCGGACTGCAAGGAAGAACAAGAATGCAGATGCTGCCAACTCCCTACTAGCTATGCGCGTTGCAAGGAAGAATAGCGATGCAGATGAGCATTAACAAGGGCTTCAGAACGCTGTACTACTGCAATGTCATTGTCTTTTTTCTTTAGCCGAAAAGCAAAGTCCTCGTCAAAAACAAAACAAAGAAGCAAAAAGCTTATATCTCAGATAGCGAGCTCCATGGAGAAGAACTCGGAGCGTCTTCCAAAGCTCGGCACGGGCGCAGGATCATCCACCCAGCTCCAACTCTCGTCCCAAGAATCAAACACGATGATCCCAGAGCAGTGGTGTGGCGCCACAAAGTTGATCCGTCCCCCTTGATCACCCGAAAACTGCCATAGCTCATGCTTCGGCAGCAGCTTCACGCCCTTCTGCTCGCTCATGACCCGCTTCACCATCTCACTCGGCAAGCTCGGCCGCCGCCGCCACTCCCGGCCCACCGGATCGAAGACGAATGCGTCGATCCCTCTCACCACCTTGGAGCTATCACGCAAGAGCCCGACTTCGCCACCTTTGTAGATCAAGAGCTGGTGATAGAGCGGATACTTGAAACGATCCTCGCTCCAGCTTCCCAAGACCTCAACGTTGGATGGATCATTCATGCTGCCGCTCACAAGCTTCACGACGCCATTGTCCTCCGAGCACAAGTAGTAGAACGTCGCGATGCCATCGCAGAAGAGGCTGCCGTAGCTCGAGTTCCCGGGGAAATCCACCGTCTTCCATCTCCTAGTTCTCGAGTTGTAGAAGCAGTCGCCGATGATGATCCGGAAATCTAGAGCCGTTCTTCCACCGCTAGCCGGCGATCGCTTTGGCACCAGCAAGCTCCACGGGCTCGTCTCCCAGGACGAGTTTGGAGCCGGATCGAAGAACACCCACTGGCCGGTGATGGGATTGCCCACCGCGATCTTGGACTTCAGCCGAGCGGCGACGAGGCCGCCGCTGGCGCCCTTGAGATGGAATCCACCCTCGGGGAGGAAGCAAGCGTTGGGGAGATTGCACCATTTCTTCAGCGACGCGCTGTAGCACCTGGTAATCTTGCGAGCCGAGTACCTGGGCCGGATGAGGAAGGGAGCAGCCTCGCGCGATCGATTGGCCTCCCTCCACTGCTCTTGGAACGCTGGGCAGGTGGTGATGTGCCTCAGCTCGCGGCACACTAGGCGGACACTGAGGATGAATTCCACAGGAAGCATGGCGAGGATGCGCTGGAGCAGCGCCATCGGCAGCCTCTCCCATACCTTCGTCTTGAGCTTCTTTCCCATTGCAAAAACCCTAAACGGTTAAAAAATTAAAGAAGACTTTTAAAGGCAACCCTACATTATTTATGTGGCCCTAAAATGCCCTATCCCACATGCCCAAGCTCAACGAGTTTCTTCGATATATAAGAGCTCGGTAGAGAGGGTATGGTATAAGCGCGCCCGCTTCAAGGTGGGAGTCAGCACGGTGTTATCCTCGGAGGGGGATTGTGACGTGGCTGATAATGCGGGGCACATCGCGTCAGGCGGGTAACCGAGCATCGCTATAGCTCCAGCTCTTGCCAGTGAAGGGATCACGCGCTCTTTTTCGCACCGCGATTTTGATGATTTGTTTCACTTGCGTGATTGGAAATCTATTAAATTCTCACGAGTTTGATGGCGTCATGGAATTGATTGAAATGGTGCCTCGCTCGCATATCGAGCGCCCACAATCAAGGATCTTCTCTCTTCCGAGCATTCGAATTCCAAGGGTTTACAGGTTTTCTCCTCGAGGCATCCAAAAGATACCGTGGTTCAGGCATAAAATTGTTTGCAGGAAAATCGAGAAATCAAGATCAACGGCTATCAAAGAGCTTGTTTAGATTGAGGCCAGCGTACGTGGTTCTACATTCGTCTAGATTATGAGATGCAAAAAAATATTACGAGGATGATCGCAACACGTAAAACATTCGTGTCTTCTTAACAACTCTTCCATCCCAGCCTGGCTTCTTCCGATCTCATCAATGAAGCTCTTTGTCGATTGAGACGCTTAGGCCTGGTGGATCGAGTCCAGCAAGTTTAACCGCCTTAGACCACCTTTTCAGCGATTGCGACCATTCACTGGGGAGATTCTTTGGTTACAAATGAATATCTAGAAAACTCGATGGTTTGTGTGTAGAAAATGTTGGTGGCAAATGCTTCATGGATTCAAGCAACTGGAGGCCCCAGACATCTCAGAATTCGTGAGATTGATTAAGCTTTGCGGCAATTCAAGGAATCTTGTTCGTGCAGCGCAGCTAGAAGCACAGATCCTCCACAGCCCCCACAGCCAAGAGCGCTACCTCTCCAATCTTCTGGTAGAGATGTACGGGAAGTGCCGTGCACCAGCCGAGGCACGTCGCGTTTTCGATTCCATCCACAACAGGAATCTCTACTCGTGGAATTTTCTCGTCGGGGCATATGCTCAGAACGGGCATTTGCTCGAGGCCAGAGCAGCGTTCGATCTCATGGGCGAGAGGAACGCCATCTCATGGACGGCCGTGATCAAAGCATACGTGGAATCTGGCCAACTGGAAAATGCTAAGATCCTGTTTGACCAGATGCCCGACCCGGATGTGGTGGTAAGGAATGTCATGATTGCCGCATATGGCGAGACCGGGGATCTGGAAGAATGTCGACGAATCTTCGACAGGATGCCCGAGAGAACGGTAGTGACGTGGAATGCACTGCTCCAGGCGTACGCGTCCAGCGGCCACGTGGACGAGGCGCGCTGCGTGTTCGACCAGACGCCCGACCAGGACGTGGTGACGTGGAGCGCCATGCTCCAGGCCTACGTGGAGGCTGGCGACGTGGATGGCGCGCGAAAGGTCTTCGGTTCGATGCCCCAGCGCAACGTGGTCGCATGGACGTCTATGGTACGAGCGTACGGTGCCGCCGGGGATATCCCGGAATCGACGGCCCTCTTCCACAAGATGCCCGAGTGGGACGTAGTGGCGTGGACGGCTATGGTGGCTGTTCTTGGGCAGGGCGGGCATCTGGAGGAGGCGAGGGCGATGTTTGATTCGCTGCCCCACCAGGACGCGATCGCCTGGAATGCGATGATCGGCTCGTACGCGCAGCGCGGCCGGATTGCCGAGGCGCGGGATCTCTTCCAGGAATTAGGAAGCCTCCGCTGCTCGCACAATCTCGTCGCCTCGTCGTGGAATGCCATCATTGCGATGCACGGGCAGACTGGGCAGATCGTGGAGGCGAAGTGCGCGTTTGATTCCATGCCGGAACACAGCATCGTCTCCTGGAACGCGATTCTTGTTGCATTTGCCCAGGCCAGGGATCTTGGGGCGGTGAAGAGGCTCTTCGATTCAATGCCGGCGCGGGATCCAATCTCCTGGACGGCAATGCTCGCCGCCACCGGCCAGCAGCGCGGCCAGGCGGCACGCGCGCACGAGATATTCAACCAGATCCCTTGCCCGACGGTGACAGCGTGGAATGCGATCATCTCCGCGCACGGGCAGAGCGGCGAATGGGGCGCCGCCATTGCCCTCTTCCGTGAGATGCTGCTCGCGGGCGCGAGCCCTAACGAGATCACGTTCACAGCAGTGCTCGCGAGCTGCGGCCATGGCGGCGGCCTCGCGGATGGGCGGCACTGCTTCCACTCCATCGCAGCGGATTTCGGGCGGAGGGTGATCGCTGATCACTATTACTGCATGATTGATCTCCTGGGCCGTGCCAAGCAGCTCCGCCACGCTGAGGAGCTCGTCGCTGCCATGCCTTACGTGCCGGATCCAGCGGCCAGGATTGCACTGCTCAGTGCATCATGCAGTGACGTGGAGCGTGGGACGCGGGTGGCGGACCACTTGCTTCAGTTTAGCCCCGAGAATGCAGCGTCCTATAACTTGATTTCCAACGCTTTGCAAGGTTCCTCTTAACGGGAATTATTTTCAAGAAAAAGTTTCATCACATATATAATAAATGCTATTTTGTTATCCTAATATTTATGAAAGGAAATTGATATTTTCTTTACTTAAAATTTTAAAAAATAATTTAATTAAAAAATCTTCCAACTATAAAGTGTAAGTAATCTATATATTTGAGAAAATTAATTAAAAGCGTTTCAAAAATTTGTTTAGCAAACTAAAATTTAAAAATTTCTTTACTTGATGATTTTTTAGTAAAGATAAAGAAGTTTTAATACACAAATTACAGTGTATATATTGTAATCTTTATTATATTTATAATCATCACTTGCCTCACCATGTGATCGGCTAAAATCATAAGGTGGGAATATGTTTAAAACATAAATATTTATTTTTTCGTTTCTTCGTTACTTCGTCATAAAAGTTTTTTATGTGTGGTAAGCAAAGTAAACTTAATGAGAGCATCCGACAAAAAAAAGGGAGAGAAGAAGAAAATGTTAAAGTATGAGTGTCGTGGGATCACTGAATCTCAGTAATTACATCAAAATAAAAAAAAATAAAAGAAAGTAACTTTATTATTTATTTTACACTTTCAATATATCTTTTACACTAAAAATACAAACATAATAGACAAATTACTTTTCTTTTTGTTCTTTATTTTTTCGTTTCCACCAACATTTTATTTACACTATAGAAAGTAAAAGAGATTATTCTCTTTGGAATATATCCTACCTTTAAATTCAAAATTGACATTAATGCTTTTGAGATACTAACATGAGCACTTACAGACTGTATTTGCAATTAATATTTTGTGAAGTCGCTTAGTATTATTTTGCCTTTAAATCACATTAATATTTGGATTACACATTGATAGTAATATTTTGCCCTCTAGAGTTGAGCTAGCCCCGATTGGAGGAGCTAGCATGGAGGACTTACAGAGGAGGGAACTTATGGATGTTATGGTGGTGGTGGGCCGCTGTGATCATCCTTTTCATTTGTCATCATCAATGCACTAATGAGTGTATCTATTTCCTAAGCATGCAGAAATAGCAATACCTACATGTGTGAATAGAAGAGGAGGAAATGCTGGATCTTCCAAAAGCATTAGATTCTTGCTGTAGCCATCACACTAAGGTTGGTATGTTTCTAGTTAGACAACTTGTCCAAATTAATGTGGTTTTGTAGGGATCACATAATCCAAAATACTCATTTCTCGGCATATGCCCATCATTCCAGCTTACCAGATCTCACTCGTCCATTTTCCTAAAGGTAATTTCTACTTTTATTTGTACCTCTAATCACCAAGAAAAAGAGAAAATCAGCGTGATTGTTGAGAAAAATCTAAAGAAGGCACAAATCTGAATCTCCAACTGCTTGATTCGTTTTTCCTATGAAACTCTAACTTAACAGAACCTCTTTTTAGCATATCTCTTTTGGCCCATTGTGTCTTCTAGTTTAAATGATAAAACCTTTCACCCCGTGGTCAATTAGACCCTTTGCTCGAGCTGCTACTTGGAGGCCACTTGGTGCGCCTTGAGTGGCCACCTCCTCATAGATCATTGGATGATCATCACTTTTGGATACATGTAGTTCAGCATCGACTACTGTATTCAAGGATCAGAGGAACCAAAGAGCTTGAATTCTTCAAGTGATGGTTTGACTCCACTGATGACTGAAGTTATGGGGTTAGGATGCAGGATCAGCTGGAGAGAGTTGGGCAGGAGTTGGGATGGAAGAGGAGGCAATGACACACGCTGCATGTCTTTGATGTTTCCTGGTCCTTGAAATCTCCTAGAGCAAGCTGGAAAAGTAATAATCAATTCAACAAGGATTTAATACAATACATATATATGGGCTGGCAGGCTGTGGGGATTGGGTTGCTGTGGCACAACAATGCCAGGTTTGATCTAACATGATTGAAGTAAGGCATTAAATTGAAAGAGTATATTTAATTCCCTTAGAGAACAGGTCATATCTAATCTTTGGTGCAATAACAAGATGCAAAGCAACAGTTTTACATGCCTTAGTTAGCACTGGCAGGGTGGTTGACGCTCTAAGATTACCACTAGACTTAGCAAAAGTCATTACCAGTGCCTAGCATTCTAATGATGCAAAATCAGTGGCAACTACCTAGCCCTAATATTCTATATCCACTTTAAAATTAAGGCTACTTACAATTATTAGAGAAAATGACACATTTATTAATTAGTAGCTACTTAAAATATAATATACCCTTGAATAAAGTAAATCATATGTATTTAACATTCATGAGTATGTCTTTCATTTTGTAAGGCATCCATAAATGAAAATATTCATCATAAAATTACGGTATGAGTGGATGATTAATTGCCTTATATAAAATAGCTCATGGGATGAAATTTGCCACTAAAGCCT